AGATTATCATATATACATATATATATATATATATATATATATATATATATATATATATATATATTATGAAGATTATCATATATATATATATATATATTATATAAATTATCATATATATATATGTGTGTGTGTGTATATATATATATATATATATATATATATATATATATATATATATATATATATATATATTATGTATATATATTATAAATTAATTGATTTAAAATATGTTTTTTTTGGCTACACAGTTCTAACCATGTTTCGAAAATGGAAGCTAAAAGCCCCGAATTTAATTTTGATTAAATTAAAGACATTAGTTCCATTTCATCCTCAAGCGAATTTTGGAGTAACTTTTAAAAATTACTGGGTTTTAAATACACAGCTAAAACAAAATTCATGTTTCCAAGGTTACAGATAAATCTATTTTTCTAGACAGGGGTGGCTGGGTTTTCAATATGTCTATAATTTAATGTATCAGTTATTGCTACGTTTGGGTCGTGGGAAGGGATGTATTTTTCAATGAATAACTTGAATAATTGGCTTAATCAAGTTAAATGTAAGCGTTCTTTATAGTTCAGTTTTATTTACACAGATTCAAGAATATTTTAGAGCATTCGTAAAGATTTTGAATAATTAACGAGATCCTCCCTCCGATTTACTTCCGTTTATAAATACATGTTACAAAATAAAACTTTTACATTTACTTTGATAAGTGGCTGTAACACATTTTAAAGAAAAGTAATAATTCTGTATTTATTCACATTGTTTTCACAGATATATTTTAATTATATGTATATCTGAATTATTACAGATACACACAGATATATCGATATATATATATATATATATATATATATATGTGTGTGTGTGTGTGTGTGAGAGAGAGAGAGAGAGCGCAGATGGCCCTATCTCGAATATAGTGGAGTGTTGTCACTGGCATTAATGCATTTAGAGTCTAGTCCAACATATGAAGAATCCAAGAGGAAGGACTAAACAGTGTGCATTAAGTCCAACAACCTTGTCTCGTAACCCAAAGCCTTGTACACAATATGGTCTTGTCTGTAAGCCTTTTCTGGTACTAAATATATATAGACTAACCAATAAGCGAATAGACACTCACTCATACCTCAAAGTCGACGGGAGAATCCATGTATACATCTCTCTCTCCCTCTTTATATATATATATATATATATATATATTTGTGTATTCGGGCAGCAACTTCGCTTTTATACAACTTTCAGTTAAAAACACTGACAAGGTGCTCCGGCTACTTTCCTTGATGGCACTACTTTGTCAGTCGTTGTAATGCAAATTGTATATATATATATATATATATATATATATATATATATATATATATATATATATATATATATATATATATAACAAAACATGAGGTATAGATACTTTCCAAATTAAATAGTACAATGACAAACTTTCTAGTTTCAGTCAGACAAAATATCTTATGTTTCGTCATATTATCTGAACTGTGTCATTTCGAATGCTTTTCGAAATCTATCATATACTCATGTACACGCGAACACTCATATATATATATATATATATATATATATATATACATATATATATATATATATATATATGTATATATATATATATATATATATATATATATCAGAGAGATATCGCAATTTTATTTATTGCTGTAGAGAGGTGATAATGTTTCAGGAAAAGGTGTTTTATCAATTAGTCGCAATCTTTCATTTAACCTTCTTTGCTATAAAACAAAACCATTTTCGATATTGTCTACTCTTCATTACAAAAATTGCATTCATTTTATATTCATGTGCTAATACGCAATTGTTTTAATGCTCAGTGGTCTAATTAGATTTTAGCGGAGCAATTGTTATAATTGTTAGTGTAAATATCAGCAAGCTTCTCTACACAAATATTATCAACTTTGTATACAGTGTTATTTACACCTCAACACTAAATATCACCATTTCACACATAAAAATTAATCTTCACCGACATCATTACTATAATAATTATAATCATTCATTTTTAGGACTCTAAAAATAAATCAAATCATTGAATAAATTTAAAAGTTTTGATAAAAAAGATTTACTTATCAATATATAAGAGAAAAGGTTAACTTTGCGCAATAAAGAAAAATATTGTGTTAATTGCAATTCTGACCAAAAACTTGCTGGATTCACTCTTTTTCTCTTTATGTAAATTATTCTTTTAATGTTACTTACTTGTCCTTAATCAATTTTCTACCACCCTATTCTCATCTAACTGTATTATTATTATTATTATTATTATTATTATTATTATTAAAAATATGATTGACGCAACTCTTCCAATATTTTTCAACAGTTAAGAGAAGAGCCCGATTTAAGAATGGAAAAAGAAAAGTAAAAAACTCAATGTTTGACAATGTTAAATAATATTTCAACAAAATTTCTTTCTTCTTCAAATTTTTTTTTTCAAATTTTCAAGTATAAAAATATATAAATCTACAAAAAATGGCGTCTTTGTAGAAACGTTGTTTGTCTTGTAATGAAAAAAAAACGTCTGTCCTGGTAATGAACGTGTCAAAATAAATGAAATGCCGCCAGTGGGATGGCATAGAACTGAAACGTGCTTAATATGATGGTGATCTTGTTCATCTTGGAAGTTTCTGTTAGTTGATTAGATATTAAGAGGAATTTTTCAAACTGCTGAGTATAAATCCTATGGAAGTCTCCTGTCATTATGTTTATTGCCCCGGAGCGGGAAGTTAGCAGTTTACAACGTAACTATCCTCGTGCGTTTTAAGGGTCGAAAGGTTGATAGATTCTGATTATTTTTTTTTTCAGAATGTGCACCATCAGATGCTTGTCAGTATTACAGTCGTTTGTAATAAAAATGTTCTGCAAGCTCAGTTATGTCACATTGTTGTGTCTGACATGATACCTTTGTCAATTGAATATTTTAGTTAATTTTTTCCGATGTGCATTTTGTGATAATTTTTTGTAGATTTATATATTTTTATATTTGAAAATATTTTTTTAAATATTACTTGAAGAAGACGGACATTTTGTTGAGATATTGTTTAATATTGTCGAAAACTGTCTTTTCTTTTTCTTTTCTTAAATTGCGCTCTTCTCTTAACTGTATCATTATTATTATTATTATTATTATTATTATTATTATTATTGTTGTTGTTGTTGTTGTTGTTGCTTTTGTTGTTGCTGTTGTTGTTGTTTCCTTTGATTTCTCTTGTACACATATTTTCTTCCGCGTCCCAGCCAGACACTTAAGGTCAGAAATGTCTTCATGACATTTTTCACTGATCGTTTTTGTAAAAAAAAAAACCCTAAGATCACCCACATTTTACATAGATAAAATGCTCGCAATGTGTCAGCTGTACTCATGTATACAATTCTTTATATTTCTTTAAAGCATTGACAACCAGTAAATACTCCAATGAGTCTATCAGAGCCTATGCGACGAGTCCAAATACAACTGGATTTATTGATGTCCCCATGTGCCACAGTTTTTTAATTTCCACTTCAAGATTTTAAATTTTTTGTAGCTTATTATTGTTATTATTATTATTATTATTATTATTATTATTATTAATAATAATAATAATAATAATAATAATCACAGAATATGATATAGGTTGCTAGTACAAAGTTTATTTTCACGTTATATCACTCGTGCAATGAAAGTAATCCGATAATTCCTTCTTTTAACTCACAGGATTTATACTAAATTTTTCAAAGCTGTCCTAGAAAGGGAGGAGTTTTGTCATGGTTTCTATTTTGAAATCACAATCAATTATCTGCCAGATTTTTATACAACAGCCTAATTCTGTAATACTCACTGGTACTGTAATTACATTATTTGCTAGTCTTTCTCAAACTTTCAGAATTCCATACTTTAAATCATTGTAGTTGTCAATGTTCACCTTTTTTTCCTTTACGTTCAATCCGCTTGACAAATGGACAAGAGATTTCTATCCGGTAGAAAATCTTTTTCTCTTTGTCCATCAGGACGAAATCTGGTTTATGGGACTCTAAATATGTCACTTTCTGTATCGGAATATCCAGAAGGATTTTCAATTTGCTTTAATCAAGCGCTTTCTTCTCCTTTGTGACCACATATAATATTACTTTCCACGAGAGTACATTTTTTTTTACAAAACTTCCAATAAATAACGGCAGCAGTTTTATCATACCTCCATTTTAATACGCACTCTGAGCCATGCACTTGAATTCTGATAGAATATCCCTGATAGTCTCACCTCTCGACCACACATCGTACATAACACTGAATAGACTTATTTCAAATCAGGTTTACCCATTATGTCCGCAATGTCAGATAATAATCTTTCAGATTCTTTCTTCAAATAACATTTCTGCTTAATGTTCACGCCGCCCTCTTGTCACTTCCATTCGTTTCTTTGAAAATTTGAATGAACTTTTTTATCCATGAATTTGTTTATCCTTTTCATAGCAAATTCAGCATTTGTTTTTGTTTTGTTTTAATGACAGGTTTTCTCACATTTAATGTGTTTATAAACAATCATACACATCTACACTCACCTTTTCATTAAATAACAGCTGCCTTCAGGGTATTATGCCTCTGTGATTATCTGTGAATTGTCATGTCATTGGAAAGATAGTCAAGTAGTTTCTCGTGGTAACAGAGATTTTAAAAATAAGGATTTATTTATTAATTCAATTGATTAACTGGTACAATATGTAGTTATAACGACTATCGCTAAGAAAAGAATATCCACACTTTATACACTTAAGGGTTTTTAAAATGACATAAGAATTAGATGAAAGCACTTAACAGATTTTGATAAAACATCACAAAAAGAGATTAGAACTAAATATTAATCTCTCCTAATGCTGTTGGCATTTTCTTCAGAAATGTAATACGAAGTTCGAGCACAAACTCCATTGTCTTTTGCCTGGTAAGCCGGTTGATATATATTGAGGACATGAAGACAGGAATTGCAGATATTAAAACCGTGCAATCACTCTTTGGCACAATTCCAGAATGTACATTCACGTAAACAGACTGAAATAGAAAGACAGTGACATCGACTGTTTCTTGAATAGATAGATAGATAGATAGATAGATAGATAGATAGATAGATAGATAGATAGATAGATAGATAGATAGATAGTGTGGAGGTGGTGAGTGAGTGAGTGAGTGAGTGAGTGGTGAGTGAGTGGGGGAGATAGATAGATAGATAGATAGATAGATAGATAGATAGATAGATAGATAGATAGATAGTGTGAGTGAGTGAGTGAGTGAGTGAGTGAGTGAGTGAGTGAGTGAGGGGGGGAGATAGATAGATAGATAGATAGATAGATAGATAGATAGATAGATAGATAGATAGATTGTTTGGTTGTTTGATTTTGCTTAGCGTCATATCAGACATTACAAGCTATTTGATGACGAAATCTAAATATTTTGAAACAATTTGTTGGCTTCAACAAACATATTTTGAATGCAATTGCATGTCTTCAAATACAGATAAATGTATTGCTGGTTATTTTGCTATAATGTGTATTATTGGTCATTATGCTTTAAAATTTTATTAGTGGTAATTTTGCGGCAAGAAACTTGTCCCCTTTCCAACTGTGTCTTTGTGATCATTTGTTTGCATTTCCTCTAAAGATTTGTCGTTGCTCACATGTTCAGTCTATGGTATCCGAAGCATCCTTCTGTATAAGTATATTTCTCTTGTCTAAAGACTCTTCTTCATATGCGAGGAGACAGGCCATCATTTACTTGAGGATATTACGTAACTGTTCAGAACTCTTTTCTCTATTTTTAGCGAAATGTTCCTGTTTCTTAAAACTTGGCTCAGCTTTTGAAAGACATTTCACTTTCCCAATTCGCCTTCGGGTTTCGATGTCGCATTTTCCGTCCTCACTCCCAACACTTCCTAGATATGAAATATTTATAATTGCTGGATTTTGGTATCTCAAATTTGTAATTTGCATGTTCGGATCTTCTTTTTGCCGGCAACTATTCATTTTGTCTTTAATTTAATATTCAGTCATTTCTTCACGCTTTCCTTTAGCCGTATTTTCCTTTCTGTGTGTGGTATCAACATGTGTCATCTGCATATCTAATGTTAAGTTTGCAACAGCCTACAATGAATCCTAGTATGACGTCTAACTCTCTCAGAATCGCATCCCTGTAAAGGATGAATAGTCCAGTGAAAAGACATTCTTGTCTTACACCAATTCCTATGTTTGTATAGCCCCTGAATTAATTTTCTATCCGTATGCAGGCGGTTTCCTCCCGGTAAATGTCCTGGTTTATTCTAATATCCTCCCCAAATATATCAATGTTACAAGGTTTATTTATCCATTGACACGCCCTTCTTTTTAAGATCAAGTTAGGTATTAAGCTAATTAAGACATTAAGTTTACTGCTGTATCACGTTGAAAGATCACCGAAGTTAAGCCACTTCGAGTCTGGTGACCGCTTGGACCGCTTGGGAATACCAAGTTCTGTAAGCTTGAGTGATGTAATGGATAATGGCTTGGTATTGGAAAGATAGACAGAGCTGAGTTAGAATTTGAGACTTGGGAAAGGCATGAAACCACCTCTTCTTCCTCCAGCTATGGGTAAATTAGTAGGAATTATATCAATAAATAATTATAATCGCCAAATTGTTTACAATTTTAAAATATTTTCTGTCTTTAAGTAGCTTGTAAAAGATTGGTAATCCGAAAAAAATAAATTCCATCAATTAATTAATGCCCAACGCATTCATTGAATATTTTTCGAACATGTATAAGCATGTTCGCTGTCATTTAGGCATTAGAGAGCAGCGTGTAAATATAATTAATTATATGGCTATCAGATATTAAGATATTACCTATAGATGATCTGATAGATAGATAGATAGATAGATAGATAGATAGATAGATAGATAGATAGATATTGAGCAGAATGAGATAGATAGATAGATAGATAGTTAGATAGATAGATAGATAGATAGATAGATAGATAGATAGATAGATAGATAGATAGATAGATGAGCGGTTGAGAAAAAACGATCGGAAATATATTTGATGACGTATTCCATGTGTTGTTTACTCACGGATCTTTTGTAAGTCACATAGAACAGAGTGAAAGGACACCACGTAGAAAAGTGAGGAAATGAAGTCCATTAATTTCCCAACAAAGAACTCTGCGCGCCTATTTTAGCATTGCGTTTCCCGTTGTCCGGCGCCACCATGAAACCTTGCACAAAAAAAAGAATAGAAAAAAAACTGTGATAGTAGAACACTGTCTTGAGAGGAAAGCCGCCCTCACTCACCGCGAACGGAAAACAAGACTTTTGCTATGACAATTATTCACAGCGCGGTGAGTTCGCTTGATGTCTATTCTTTTTTAGGATTTTTCATTTATTTATCATTATTTTTGCCTGAGCCTTCAAACAAGAAAAAACACAATCTGGCTTGTGTTTGAAATGTAAACAAATCGATAGCGACCATGCATTGACCGAAGAATGAAAAGCAATTATGTCCAAGCGAAGACTAAAGTATTATTGGAAATATGGGAATAAAAAAAAATGTTTGTGTAAATAACAATGATGATGATGATAATTTGCAACTTTTTGTGTGGCGACGATTTTATGAATAATTGAGACGACACTGACCGGGGCGGAGTGTTAAGGCCAAGAAAATAAAGTGAAAAGTCCGACGTGAGGCCTGTTGTAATTTGGACACTAACACTGTTAGCTAGGTATATCTCATGCGAAAATACAGATACATTCCTCATTTAACGACTTACTTGTTTACCGACCCCGGACTTACGACTAACTGTAACTTTTCATAAAGTACAATATAAAAAATAAATCCAACCAGTCGGTATTGTACATTGTGTGAAAAATTTGATCAGGACTGTTTTCTTTTTGTTGAAATTGAATCGAAATATAATGAAGGAAATAAAGTGATAAATAAATGAAACTTTACTTGTGTTACGTTTACAGGAAGCAAAAGGAAATAATGTACAAAAAAAATGAGATGATTTTCGAATTTGCTTATTACATTTACTTTAATAAAAGCGAAGCACGTTAGATTTATAAACGTTTCCTATTTGTTCCTTATACTATCATTCTGTCAGATTCCAATCCATATTTGATCTCAATTCATTACATTTACCATTCAATACACTATTGCGCTGTTTAAACATTTAACACAAAACCATTACACGCGTAGCCCGCCTGAAACAGCGGCCATATCCGACCACTCATTTAATCGATCAGTGTTTAAATGAAAAGAGGCTATACTGAAAATTTGAGATTTGTCTTGTGTCAACAGTTATTCAGTGCACTAGAGAGGTAATTTTAATTCTTATTCTTTTATGCTCTGTGTGCATTCAGGGCGTGAACGATCAAGGTTATCCACAACTTCCTATCCCTTGAAGGTTTTAGCAATGTTCGCTTTTTTACTAGTCTTCCCACTTTCTAAACTGAGGCCCATTTACATAAACTTTTTAGGTACATTTCAAACTGTTTCTCCTCTTGTTTTCAATATGTCTTCTGAGTGTCAGATTTTCTAAATCTTCTTTTCTCATTATGTGTCCCAGAAATTTCAACCATCGCTTTCTGATTCTACGTATAAGTATCCTTTTTATTTCCATTTTACTTTAAAATTTCTGTTATTCACATGTTGTGTCCATGGTATTCTTTGCTTTCTTCTACAGAATCACATCTCTGTTGACTTAAGCCTCCTTTACAATTGTGAGGAGTTTTTCCAGCATTCACTACCATATACAAAGACTGATATTACGTAGCATTTCAGCACTCTTTTCTTTGTTTCTATGTCTTCCTGTTTCGTAATACTTTGTTTATCATTTGTATGGAATCTTTAACTGTTTTAATGCACCTTCAGATTTCGCTGCCATATTTACAAATAAAATGGCAACTAAACTGTACAGAAAGTAGCATAAAATCTTCTTCCCTCATTGTACGTCTCAGAAATTCCAATTGTCTCTTTCTAATTCTAAATATAAATGTCTTTTTTGTTTCCATTTTATTTTTTAAAAATTCCATGTTATTCTCATGCTATGTCCATGATGACAAAATTCATCCTCTCCTCAAATTCTCACATCTCACTAAGAACAATGCCAGTAATATACTCATTTCGGTAAGAGAAGTCTCTAGACTTTTCAAAAGCCTCAACCCCCAAAAAAGACCACTAGCCCAGACAAAATTTCAATGGTCGTCCTTAAAGAATATCAACCCAGATTTATCCCCGATCCTAGCAAAGTTATTTAACCGCTACCTGAAGGAGAAATTATTCCCATGCCAGTAGAAGGTGGCAAGCGTATTCCCAGTCTTCAAAAACGTGGGTAATCGAACCTCCCCCTCCCAGTATAGACCAATTAGTCTCCACAATTTAATCAGTAATCTTTTTGAGGCCTTAATCAATAAGAAAGTCCTCGAGCACCTAGACAGGAACAACGGCGAGCAGCATGGGTTTCGATTAGCGCAATCTGCTAATGAGGTCCTAACTACCATTACACACAGAAATACTGAGACTCTGATGACACACACACACCCTACGGACCATAGCGTTAGGTATCAAGAAGGCGTTCAACAAGTTGTTGCACAAAGGTTTAATACACAAGCTTTCCCGCTATGGATTCACTGGAAGGGTTTTCTATTATAAAATCATTCTTAACGATTGATCTCTGAAGCTAGTCCTCCAAGGCCCGGACGTTCAATGCAGGTGTGCATAGTGGTCACTTCTGATTTACACCAATGATCTACCTGAGAATATACTCCGGTCATTTGTAAATATATATATATATATATGCCGATGATCGCACCTCTAAATCAAAGATTGGCAACTGACCTCTCTTCCGATCTAACACTATCTTCTCAGCGGGAGAAAATGGCTGGTTACATTCAATGTCTCTAAAACCAAACTTGTTAGATTCCATCATCGCCGATCAGACCTCGGGCTACCTCCAGTCACGATGAACAGATGCTCTCTTGAGGTGGTCGCGTGCATTGAAAGGATATTGAGCTTCAAACTCACACCCGGCCTTTATATGAGCCAGATCATGCCGAAAATGGAGTACCGTTGCCATATTTGTTCGGGACTTGTCCAAAACTCACTTTCCAGTCTTGATCGTGTTCAAAAGCGTCTCCGAGGCCCTGGTGGAGAAGAATGGATGTGGCGAGTCCCTCATTGCTCTATCGTTACTATCATGGAATGTGCTCGGACAAATTACATTCCTTGATTCCGGTAGGTCTAACCTTTACGGCTAGGACCCGCTTGGACACTTACATCATAGCAAACCACCCACATTCCCTCCGTATTCCATTGGTGAGAAGTAACTTCTAGTCAAACAGCTTCTTCCCGCGAACCACTGCCCTGTGGAACATGATACAATCTTAACCAGTTCAAGTCTAAAGTTCAGTCTGAAGTCGGACGACCGGCTGACCGGCTGATCGGTTGAACTCTCCGCCTTCGGGCGGGGAGGAACCCGAACGAGGCTACGCCGAAGGACGGAGTCTCTTTCTGGGAGGTAAACCAACCCTGAACCCGTTTATACGGGTTCAAAGGGCATATTTTTGGCCGAGCCCACGGACTCGGAGATCCCAACTTAAACCGGCCTTGTGCCACATGATGCCCTCCTGGCGGGGGGGGGACTAAATACTGTTCAAGTCTAGAGTTAACCGTTATCCCTCCACACTATCCATATAATCTATCCCTTAACGTAACCCTCTACCTCGAGTGGCCTCGGGCCTTGTTGTGTCGGAAACCTACCACCCCTCTTGAAGATGAAATTGTCTGCAAACAAAGACTTTAAATAGTGGCATGTCAGTTGACATGAGGGAAGACAGATAGACAGAGAAGTTCTTAGCTGAGCTAGTTATTGACTACTCAGGCGATTTCTGTACCTTTTTACCAACCTATTAAAACCCTTTTTATTGTTACGTGTTATTTGGCGTTTGTCTCTACTAACCCCAAATCAAGATCATAACAGGCCTTGTACAGGGTGAAACCTACTGTAAACAGATTTTTTTTTTAAATTCTCAGCATTCTTCTGTAGAATCATATCTCTCTTGCCTTAATCTCCTCTTTATCTGTGAAGAAATTATCCAGCATTCACTATCATATATTGGAAGATTGATATTAAAGTTCATTAATTCAGCACTCTTTTTTTTCTTTTTTCTTTTTTTTTTAACGAAAGTTTCCTGTCTGTTAATACTTTTTTTAGCTTTTGTATGTCATCTTTAATTATTGTAATGAGCCTCCCGATTTCGCTGCTACATTTGCCAAGAAATAATAAACTGTAGAGAAAATATCGCACCATATTGCAATAGTTATCCAGCACTTTAACCAGACTTATAACAATGCTAATAAATTCAACACATGGGATAAGCCAAATGATTTCTATTTTATAACATTGATGAAAGTGCATTAATCAACACAGACGTTAAAAGTATAGAGAAAGAGTGGGAGGTAGAGAAACGAGAGTATATTTTGAAGTTGTCAGAAAAAATATTTGACGGTTTTTCCATTTCAGATGTTCAGGCTTTATTAACTCACTCACCGGGACATGCGCCTAATTAACAACTAAATTCTCTGATTTTGAACGACAACACAATTAAAACAGGAAAAGAAAAATACCAATTAATGTTGACTTACGATTTAAAAGCAACAAAGAATTTTGAATGGCATGGTAGATTTTTTTTTTTCCTGGAACCGCGAAAATTTACGTAAGTGACTTTAACGAAATTTAAAAATTATTTACCACTTGGTGCATTTTGGACGTGGGTGTGGAAATATGCTTATTTTTATGCATTTATGTATATACGTGTGTGTATGTACGTGTATGTGTGTATGTATATGGGTGTTTATATGTGTGCGTCTGTGTAATTTATAATGGCATAGAGAAGATTTTATGATGCGAGTGATGTCTTAGTGATAATTGTTGAACAGTTTACAAGTAGTAAAAACGTCAACAGTCTATTATGTGCCATTTATTTACACCATGATGTGGGCATGTGTCCAAGTGGTTAGAACCGTGGTTTCCAATGGGTGGGGGGAGCACAGGCCACACATGGGGGATAATTTGATTTTAAGGGAAAAATTCAAGAATAAGCTATTAACAATTAATATTTTTCTACGGAGCCTGCGTGGGCATAATTGTAGTGCGAATTAATACATACTGCGTATATACAATATTCATACATAAAAAATATTTGTGTGCGTGTATGTACAAGTGTAATTACGTATGTATTTTATAATATATATATGCATATATATATATATATATATATATATAGAGAGAGAGAGAGAGAGTTGGATTAATGTGAGTTTGTGACCATGCGTTTCACGCTAATTTACGATCGTCAGAAGAATTTTATATACATACATATTTTATATACATACACATATAATAAATATTTATATACATACACATATATATATATATACATTTTACACTCACGCACACCCCCCATATATATATATATATATATATATATATATATATATATATATTAAAGGAAAAAAGTTTTAGCTGACGCGTTTCGACCAATGTGAACATTTTTCAAGGCAAAAAAGGAAATGAATTTTTTAAAACTGAAAAATTATGGTCAACTGAAAAATTACGTCAATTGCTGTATGTTTGAAGAGAATATTTTCATATGTTTTTTCCCAATATCACCTTTCCTAATAGAGTCACTACTTTCCCAAACCAACGTAGACATCAAATATGTCAAGAAATCAAAACGGCTCAATCCGTCAATACAACAATACAAACAATATTTCTACACATGAAAATATTCTCTTCAAACATAAATTAATTGACGCAATTTTTCAGTTGACCATATGAATATACAATAGCGTTTCTAAATTCTTCTAGTTGCTAACGACATTTTGCTTATAGATACATTGTTTCAACAAATTTATTTGTTTTTTGCCTTGAAAAAGTTCACATTGGACGAAAGGCGTCGGCAAAATCTACAGTTTTCTATTTTCTTTCTTCCTTTATACATATTGCCTTCATCTACAGGTTAATTCTGAGAAACTTTTACACACACACACACACACACACACACACACATATATATATATATATATATATATATATATATATATATATATATATATATATATATATATATATTATTTTTTTAACTATTTCTTAGTAATTTCTTCCTCTGTTTCTTCTTTTATTCTTTATTCAGGATTTTAGAGATACTTAGGTGAGGCATGGTCAAAAACAGGTTGGGAACCACTAGGTTAGAACTTTTATGTTTTTATCATGAGATCCAGTTTCGAATCCCATAGCGGTCGATTTTGTCACAGAGTTAATATCTTTATCATATTGAGAGATCCCAGCGTGCTGCACTGTTTGGGCAGTGGCTGAAAAACAAGGCCTATGTTTTGTGAGTGTATTTTTGGGTTGACTTAGCTATTCAGCACGCATGATGGTCGTGCTAGCACGAAATCACAAGTCATCATGACAGAGAGTTTGAGAGTACTGTCCTCATTCATTGATCACATCAGATTATGCGCTCTCTATTAGAATCTCTATCTATGGTCCACTCCAAATAGTTTCACTATAAACTACAGGTTGGCTCTGGATGTTGAAGAAATGCAAGACGTCTGCAATAAGAATTAGCTGAATAAGCTAGCAGATGGGTATATTTGGAAACGAATAGCTATTTATTTATGTAAACAAAAGATTTGGTGATTTCTGCCATTGGCAATGAAAATAACCAGGTGACGGTAATAATAACATGATTTTTGCTTGAGGACAATCTTTATACACGACTGGGTTTTTTTTGCGGGGGGTTGTTTAACAAAGAAAAAATATTTGCGATATACCATGAAAACGGAAAATAATGATTTGGAAGGAGATGAAAGTCGATAGAAGCCGAGACAGGAAAGGAAAAGACGAAGTCATGGGAATAAAGAACAAAAAAATGGATCAGTCGGAAGATGAGCAATCAGCATTCGAAACGTTAATGACAATGGTAAGAATGACGAGAACAAGGTAAGAAGAATAGTAAAACAGCAGGAATTATGGGAAATATGGAAATACGACTACTACTTCTACTACTATTACTATTACTACTACTACTAATAATAATAATAAGAAGAAGAACAACAAGCAAACACTAGCCATCACCGTCGTTGACAAAGAGACAAGAAAATATCTCCTCATCGACGGACATGGCTCTTCTTGGTAACCTTAATATCACAATCAAAGAAGTTACCAAGATCAAGAAATGCACCGACCGACAGACTGCAGGTGGCAGAATGTACGACGTTCTGGCTACTATTCATAAAGGTTAGGAAGTTGTGAAGCGCCATGATCACCCACGTCCTGAAGGGATACAACATATAAATGTAGATTCTGTACATGATACATTAATCACTACCCACTGAAAATAAATCTCTTTCTTCCTTGTTGTGGTAATAGGTAAAACCACTAGGTAGTTTTAAATGCAATTTCCCTATTAATATATATATATATATATATATATATATATAGAGAGAGAGAGAGAGAGAGAGAGAAAGTGAAAGAGAAAGAAAGAGAGAGTCAGAGAAGAAAGAAAGAAAGAAAGAAAGAAAGAAAGAAAGAAAGAAAGAAAGTGAGATCATATAGAGTTTAAAACATTCTTACAAAGGATGTATTCGCCCACAACACTCAATCCCAGTACTCGGCATAAATGGCAAACTATGGTATATAATATTCGTTCATCTTTGGTTTTTGTGGAGGAAACTTTGATCACTGGCATGAATGACCAGAATATTGTTCAACCCTTCTATTGACATTTTAAATCGCTTTTTCCCTTCAAAATATAAGCGATCATGACTCTCCATACATTTTTCTTCATTAAATGACAAATGCCATGAATTCTTGGGAAATATATTACACTAGTTTCCTCTTACGTTCTTCACGGGTTGGAATTTCTTTTACTCATTTCACCTCAAGGCAATAAAGCCACTAGGATGCAATGGATTACTGGGTGCTAAAGAATATGAGAAAAACTACTATTAAGTAGAGAAGACAATAAAAGAATAAGAATAAGAAAGATAATGATTAACATTGAATTTAAACTTTGAAGATCAAATTTGACTGGGAAACAAGTAGCAAGAAGCGGAAAGCTTTCACAAGCGATAGAAGAAATTATTAGCATAGTACTTATGTTCGCATCTAGCCATTTCAACTGTAAAATGATGAAGCCTTGCTGCTCATCTAGTACAGCGCTTGGTACAAAAGAGTGATGCTTATTAGAAAAGTTACCATGAAACTGTTTATAAAAAAGACACGTAAAAAATATATTACGGCGGTAGGAAAGCCCGAAAAAATTAATTCTTAAGTCTATATTGGCCCAATCTCCTGGTGTGAGAAAATCGTGGTTTTACGTGAGAAGGTACAAAAGCAAAAATAGCGACTTTAACCCAAGAAGAAGGTCAAGAATATCAATCCAAGAGGTGTCTTGATTAAAGTGAAATGAATCCCAATCACTATACTGGTAACAGAAAGAAGTCTTGTGAATGGGAGGGTCCTTTTTAATAGAAAACTCAAAAGAAATGTTAGTAGATATTACAGCGTGATCTGAATTGCCAAGAAGTCAGAGTTGTGATGCTCTACAAGATCTACAAGGAATAAATTAAATAAAGAAGAATGTTGAAGAGATTTAGTCTGAAAACCAGTAGAGAAATCTAGTATTTAACTGAGTGATAATAGAAGCCTAAAAGTCTGAATACCGGCACATCAGAATATATTGACGTGATGAGCATCAAAATCACCAAACACAAAACTATTCGCAAATGAATATAGAGAAAGAGCTATTTTTATTTTATCAGAAATTTTGTTTAATATATTTGTTGTAACCTAGAAAGGGTTACTGAATGGGGAATAGCCGGAGGTTGGAAATGAAATAGTTATCTTTATAACATCAACAAAATACAATACCCGCCAGCAGCGTGAAGTAGATAAACCACTGCTAGTGATGGACTACTTAGACAATATATCACGCTCCACTAACAATAGTGTCTAACGTATTTATGAGGATTTGGACATACCCATTAGTGTTCATAGGTACGGTATATAACAATATTACTGACGTGTGAAGAAGGACAGAGGTAAAAGAAAGAGAGAGAGAGCTATCAGAGCGGAACAACTAACGTTGAAAACACATGAAAGAATTATCTGAGCACTCAAGAGACTAATCCTTTGCAATTGTGAGATCTTCCCAAATATAAACACCGACGCCATGCTCATGCATGATAGATTTTTTTCTTCGGCAAAGAGGAAGTTAGCCTGGAACAGAGAAGCCATTGTTAGCAATAGAAGATTACAGTAGAAAATTAGCTTCATAAAGTGCTGAGATATCTGGAGATCGTTTCAAGAGAAAAGGTTTCAGTACTGCAGAAATTAGAATGAATGCCTCGAATATTGAAGAAAGTAATATTGAGGGAGCGTAGGTGATTTTTGTTTACACATATTTCTTTTCATTGTATCCGCCATAATAAGATATGTTTTAAAAAGAAAAAAGCCAAAATAATTATTACTACCTATCGTCTATGCAATACAAACTGATCAGAAGGTGGCTAGGACTAATGCATAATGTAACCTCAGGATTGCCCACCGGAAATACACATTGGAACACATAACCATACACAACATAAGACTACAAATACCCCGATATTATGTGACTGTTTATCAGAGCAGCCTCTCTAAACTTAACCAAAAAGTTCGGGCTTCTTACTACTAGTCGGAAGCAGCAACCAGAAAACTGCTAAACCAGTACACACATAATGACAATTTGTAGCCACTGGTCAGTCATATCACCAAGGAGTTGAGACAGTTAAATCATAATATCCATGGAAGAAAGAACCCGTAAACGATAACCTAAACCGGAAACAAATGATAAACTTTTACTCCGGTTCAATAAATATGGGAGGAGTACTGACCGGGCGATAGGTGAACCTATCTACTTGTCATACCTGAACGTACCTATTCTATTATTAATAGACTCTCCCACACATAATAAGTAGTAGTAGCGGTCACCAGTTGGGCTCAGTGGTGTTGAGTGAGTCAGTCGATGTCGGACATTAAAGTATCAACCATCACAACTAGATTGCTGCGTCATTAATTATTATTGCAAGTTCCTAACTTTTTGTACGTCGGACCCTTTTTAGGGCCGACTTATTGAAATACAAGCCTCCACTGTAAAAACTACTCTACAACACTACTCCTAGTAACCTGTTTACAGCACAGGAGGCTGTAAACTCAGAGTTTTCTTTCTTTCTTTTAAATTCTACCACGATTTGCTTCTCTTATACTCCTTACCAAAAAAGGTTAGTGAGTCCAATTTGCGATACTATTTAACCTATACCTTCAGAGAAGGGGAGACGGTTTCATGCCTTTCCCAGGGCCGTTTGTGGGAAAGTGAACGTAACAGATGATCCTGAAATTTGAACTCGATTCCACTTTCTACGTCGATATCCGGTACACTACGAACAGTTAATATAAATGTATGTAAACAAAGAAATCGTCATCAGTATCGTATTTTTTCTACTTGGTTGTTCATGGTAATCATTGTGATAGTAACGACGGCAAGATATCAAAATTGAGTGCATTGTTCGGAAAAGAGGGTGACATCTTGCCGCAGAGTATATAGCAATGGTGACAGCCCGTTCCGGAACGCGGTTGTTATCACCAGAGTCAAACAGTCTGCGAACAGATATTTTAATATTTTTTTTCCAGGAAATGCAGTCATTTTCATCCACCACTGATATATTCTTGTGTCTCATAAAGAATTGAATATTCGAAAATTACGAATTAACTTTTCAGAACTTAGAGCTAAGAGTTAGAGTTAAACAAAAATAGCACACGATCATTCGAGGTAGGAAAGGCGCTTGATGAAAAATACACTCGTGAAAGTATGTATCTGTATACAGATTATGCACTCACGCGCACTCACATGTATATTATATTAGTCTGATACACACACACGCGCACACATAATTCTACAACTATCTATCTATGCCCTCTTTCTCTCTATCTCTCTTTCTATCTCTCTCTCTTTATATATATATATATATATATATATATATATATATATATATATATATATATATAGGGTAAGGAACAAACACGAAACGTTTAAAAATTTAACATGTTTCGCTTTTATTTAAGAAGAGGAAAATAGAAATACTGACATTTTTATTTTTGTAATAATTGTTTTTCATTCGCTGAATAGATAATGAAAAACAAGTGACAGAAAAAGTAAAAATCCCAGAATTTTTCTCATCTATATTTCATTTTGTAATGAAGCTTAAATAATAGCGAAACATATCAAATTCATAGACGTTTCTTATTTGTTCCATATCCTATCATTGTCAGATTCTAATCTATAACTGTAATTGATCCCTATCCATATATATATATATATATATATATATATATATATATATATATATATATATATATATATTGTGACGTGTATATGTTTTAATGTAAATAAAAAAAGGTTTCATTACAATTTTAGTGATTTGGTAGTAGCTAAAACGGAAAGAAACACAAAAGCTCAACGGCAAGAAGTTAAAAATGCTTCAAAATAATTTCAGTCGAAAGTTCAAGTGTTGTGGGGTATAGTTCACGTGTCAGGTCAGCCAGAGTAGTAAAGGGTTTGCACTGATGCAGAATTCGGCAATAACTGCCTTTTCTATTCAACTCGCTTAATTTTGGCGCCAATCAACGAATACGTCTAACTGGATGAAAGATGTCCAATTGTAAGGTCATACGACCACATCAAATCAAAATGATCCAGACCTCGGAGAAGATGCATTCATAAAAATATATTCTCCTAACAATATATATATATATATATATATATGAGGATGAGGATGATGAGGAAACAAAGTGGAAAAGTTACAAATGACGCA